CACGAAGATTAGATACTTATCGATCCGACGAACCGACGTTTTTGACGAAAGCTGCGTAACCGACGACTACTTCGCGAACATTAGATACGTATCGATTATCGAAACGACGAAACTGACGATTTCGGCGACTGTGCCAAGAATAAGCTTTTCGTAAATGCTTCTTCCCCAACGACTCTTTTCACATCACTTATCCATTTCCTTTTCTGCTCAAATTGCTATGCCACTCGAGGTTCTTAAGTGGAAATCTTTATTACGGCCTAACGTTTCGACTTGGTCGTCTTCTTCAGAGGCCTAAACGCGTTTCGAGGTTAGGAAATGAACACTACCTTACTAAGCGCTCAACCAACCCTAGCAGTTCCGATGGCGTGTTCGGAACTCAACCTGAAAGCCCACACAACACGAAGAGTGCACTCACCAAGCTTCCACCGTGATTCTGCAGTCACATGCGGATAGTAGTCACTAGTAAATGAGACTAACTAAAAACCTCGAGTGGCACAGCAATTTAAGCAGAAGAAGAATAGAAGGGTTTTGGTAGTTGACTGAATCACTAGCTACCACTATGAGTGAATTTTGCCACACGAAGGCTCTGAATTTACTGTATCGCGATGATCGACAATATACGTGAATGACACAGCAAATTGGTATGAAGGAAGTTCGGCGATTCTGAGAAAGAAAGAAAGAATAAAACCTAGAGTATTAGAAACATTTCTTCTGTGATTATTTACCACATGGAGTTCATATCAAGGCACACATGTAGTTGGGCATTGCCATTGTCGATCCGTATCTAATCTTGGGTATGTGACAAGAGGATCGTAATTCGCCGCGCTGCTGGGCGTCGCGTGCGACGTCTCGTCCGCAAAGGACGATGGTTCAGGCAGTAGATGGCGACAACATGCAATTAAGGACCGAAAACAGTAATGAGTGTCTACGATGACGGGGTCTACATGAAGTCCGGTGCTCCATTCGACAGGTTAAAACGAGTTATGAAAACGCCGCGCCCATCGCCGCGCGTGGCGGTGCGGCGAATTACGATCCTCTTTACCGTCTCCCGTCGTCGGTTTCGTCGGTTGCGCAGTTTCGTCGGATCAATACATTGTTCGTCTTCGTGAATTAGTCGCAGAAAACGTCGGTTTCGTCGGTTACGTCGACGCTGACGATGACGTGGCACGGTATGAACGCAGCCTTATCCACATCGCATTCAATAAGCCACTACGATTCTGAATGGAAGTAGAATGCGTGCCGCATCCCACAAAGGGATCGATCAACGGCGAAACTTTATCCTTTATCCAGTTGGTACGACGGTTCCGTTGCGAGCTCTCTCCATTTCGCATTGTGAGAGTGAGGTGATAAATAGAAAGAGCTAATATTGTTTAGGTACCAGGAAGTGGGAACTCCGCCTGACCGCGCCCTTTCTTCGCCTCAAGGACACATGGTACGATCACACATAGTTTGGGTGTGCGTGACTATCAGCCCCCAGCTGTCGAAGCGTAGCGGTTTCCCCGTCCTAACATGCGCAGGAATGGAGATACAGGACCGTGAAACACGCTAATTCCTCCATGCTCCGCCCATACCTTTTGCGGCGCAGATTCCCGTTCATGCTAACATCCGTCGTAAGCGCGCGTGTCGCGTGCGGCTCTCTTGGAACC